ATCCATAAAATTAACGTTATAAACAAAAAATATATTAAGATAATTGTCGGACTTAGTCCATTTCATAATATATATATATATATATATATATATATTAAAAAGAAGAGGGGTGCCGCAAACGTTTTTGGTTGTAATGTGGATTTATTGAGAAAAAATATTATACTTTGTTTTACATAATTTCACGACACGTGTTTCTGGTCTGGTCTCGCAACCGTCTTCAGGTGAAAGTGGAGATTTTTACATATTATTAAAAATAATTAATTTTTCTTCATGTTCAATGTGGAATATTCTCGATATGAGACATTCTGTTTGTGTGTTGGCAATCCGAATTTTCTTTCTAGAATTGTCAATGAAGAGTTCTGCGTGAAGGGTCATAAAACAATTAAGGTTTGTCCAGCGAGTAGTTATCGGCATTTAATCTTTTAATGTTTTAGTGACCTCTATGTGCTCTTGGATCTGTTTCTATTTTGGCGTGTTATATATATATATAGCTTTTTATTTAATTTTTATTGCATTAGTAAAAGTGATTTTTTTCTGAACATAAAATCCGAATGTCCAATATATGCATCTTTTTTAGGGTGTTAGATTAGCCTATTATCAAGGATGTTATTTTTTTTCCAACTGAACATCTAGATTTTTATATATGTGTACATATAGTGATAGGAAAACCTTTTTAAGTTTCAAAACACAATCAGCACGTTGGGGCCGTGTTCATAGTTGATACTATCGAGTGTTGCTTTTCTTTTTTTTATTATTAAGGTGTTTTCATTATTTTTAGCCGTTTTTACATGTGGATTAGTCTATTATGGCCGTATTTTCTACAAGTATGTTGCGGATGGTGCTTGGTAGATTTCCATGTGTGTTTAAATGGGTCTTAATTGCGCTATAGTCTGGGAGATGTAACATAAGTCTCCTTGATAAGCAAATAGATCACTTTATATATGTATGCTTTTAAATGTGTCCTAATTGAGTTATACTCTAAGATATATAACGTGAGTCTTCTTGATAAGCATGTAGTGGTATGTCCAATATAATTATTCATAAATTTGGTTCCTTAAAGGACATGTGAATTCATAAATAACATTGATCATCTGTAATTTGGATCTTACAGTGAGTTATTGTTGTTGATGACGAGGTTAACTGCTTTGATTTTTTTTATAGTAGATAATTAGCGTATTTTCCAGCTTACAAGACGTACTTTTTTTCCTGAAAATATCCTGAGAAATACGTGTGCGTCTTCCAAGACGAATGTAAGGCAACGCCCAGGCTCAAGTAAGCTTCAACGGTCACCTAATTGGCTTGACTGATAGGGACGTGGATTTGTATGTTGCGTCATTACACTATAATGTTAGCTATTTATATAATTCAGCCTTTTATATAATGTAACTTCACTACTTAACTGTTATAAATAATTCCAAAACTATAAACCTTCCTAGTGCCGAGCCACAAGCTTAAACATGCTCTGTTTACGAGAAGCGACGCGAGCCTTTCTGCTCTGGACTAGTTATGTCATTGCCATACAAACAAAATCGGGCGAGTGATTGATGTAAACAATACATGGCGCCAGTGTGTCAGAGACGCATGGTAAATGTCTTGTTGTATGAGAATGATTTTTTTCTTAGAAATTTCTTTCCAATATTAGGGTGCGTCTTCGTAAGGTAATTTAATTTTCTTGTTCTGGTCGACTGAAGTTGTATGTTTTTTTTTTAATAATATTTCTAAAGGAAAATCCATCCAGCTTATAGTTAACGTGTATTTGGGTTTTATAGAAAATGATGATGTTAATTAATTTTTCTGTCTGTTCAGTGTTGCTTTTGTTATATATATATATATATATATATATATATATATATATATATTCCGTATCATGCGACATTTGAAGACCTAATTTTGAAGTTAATTTGATAATGGATATATAATTTGGTCGATGGGGAGACAAGGCCAGCATTACATACAATATTTTTATATCTCAGGTGTGATGCGGCACCCTGAAAATTAGCTTAAAAAATTAGGTCTTCAAATTCGCTTGAGACGGGATATATATATATATATATATATATATATATATATATATATATATATATATATATAATTCTACCGAGAATTGAAACCCGGTCAGTTACGATATCAGGTAAACGTCATGCCAACTGTACCAACGCGTCTCGGTAGCGAATTAGAGTCGATATAGCGCCGCTTGATCACATATTCCGTGGTGGAACTCATCCGAGTTTCTCTTACCCATAGGACTGTGCCCCCACGAGCCACGACTAATATCCCCAAGTCGCTCCATCCAGAGCATTAGAAGCCGGTTCAAGCAAGGATATAAAAGTGATAGAAATTATTAGGAGGATTTGAGATAATTATAATTCATCGAGTCTAGAAGAAACCTCAACAGAATGTAGAAAGCACAACTGTACCAACGGGCCTCGGTGACGAAGAGGTTTGGGTATAGTAATCCCTAATAATTTCTATCATTTATCATTATTAATTTAATTTAAATAAAGGAATTTAAAGAGAAGTGATGGGAATTTTTTTTTTTCATCTAGCCTATTGAATTTATATTCTTTTATTTTTTTCAATCACTTTTGTTAGTAGATAGTTACCATATTTGATAGCATATAAGACGAGCGGGTGTATAAGACGCACCCCAATTTTAGCAGGGCAAATCAAGAAAAAATTAGTAATTACTAAAATTAGTAAACCTACATATGGCATATAAAACGCAGGGGAATTTTACAAGATACTTTTAGTAAAAAAATAGTGCGCCTTATATGCCGTCAAATACAGTAGTTAAATTCCCAGCAACTGTCATTCGGGCGCATGTGTAGTCGCACCAACATAACGTCACAAGAAAACATTCTCCATTTTGTCATACATTTTCCCCCAATATTGTTTTTGATATTGAAAAATATATAAAACTTTATCTCATATATATATATATATATATATATATATATATATATATATATATATATAATGATTGCGTAATGTTTAGCAGCCCCCATTAGTAGAATGAGATATAATAAAACTAGATGATGAAAACCGAAGGAGGAAATTGCAGTTTATGCATGGAGGGGAACACTGAAAATCATAGAATTCAAGAAAGTCACTGGATTAATAAACAAAAGGGAATTAAAGGATTTTGGACTGCCGGCACGCTGACGCATTCCTTCTGAAACAGGCGAAAGAGAATTATGGAGTTTCAGAGCGTCAAAGAGAAATAAACGCCCATTTTAAAAAGCCCCCGGCGTGAAATACACTGTTAATGAGTAAGTAATCGAAAACTGCATTTTAATTCATGTACGTCCACACACACACACACACACACACACACACACACACACACACACATATATATATATATATTATAGTAAAAAGAAAGAACAATAAGATATATAATCTGGTGTTCTTATTGATATTTTTATTTTTACAAAACAGTGCTCAATGTAAATTTACAGAGCATAAATATTATAAATTAACTGATTTAAAGTATGGTTCGTTCGCTACACAGGAATTACCATGTTTCAAAAACCGAAGCTAAAAACTTCAAATTTAATTATATAATTAAATTAAAAGCATTAGTTCTGTTTCATCTTCAAGCGAATTTTGGAATATATATATATATATATATATATATATATATATATATATGGGCAAAGAGAAACTATCGTTAGATCAGAGAAAGAGAGAGAGAGAGAGAGAGAGAGGAGAGAGAAATCGCCAAAAATGCATTCACACTTCAGGATAGGAAAACCTTGTCTTTCGTAGTTATATGAAATTGCGATAACACTGTTTACTGTAGCATTTTCTCGACAGATGGCATTGCCATCATGGCTGTAGCACCAACAAATCCGAACCGATGTTGTGCATCGCAGAAAACCGACCACATTAGCGGCCCTTAAACAAGAAATTTAAAATGCATGTGCAGCAATCCCTCTGGACACTCTGGCCAATGTTGCCCAAGGAGTAACTCGTTGTCGTAAATATCTGGAAACTAAAGGCCACCATTATGAACATCCTTTGTAAATGTAGAGCTCAAAGTTAACTTGTATTAATCTTGTGATGTCTGAATAAACTTAGTTTTATAATATCTATACAAGTTTTTTTTTTCCGTTCCTGAAGTGTGTATACATTTTTTGCAGACTCTGTATATAATCGAATTAAGAAAACCAAGTAGGCTTTCACCATAAGATCATCAATTTCTAAACGGAATCTACTGCTTAATTGAACCTTAAATCTCTTTGTGCTGTAAATATTAAACTTGTTTTATTTTTTACAACAGCGTAAAGTCTTTTCTTTATTCATATTTTACAAAATTACACACACACACACACACACACACACACACACACACACACACACACACACACACACACACATATATATATATATATAATTATTTATTTAAAAATATGATTCCAATAAATATTTTAAATAAATAATTATATTTATGCTCTACTTTTGTATCGAGCACTATTTTTAAAAAATAATAACTAAAATACTAAGGAACTGTGGATTATTTACCTAACCAGTTCCTTCCTATTTTCTATATACTTTCACACACACACACACACACACACACACACACACACACACACACACACATATATATATATATATATATATATATAGGTGTGTGGAGATGAGAGTGTACGTGTACTGTTGATTTGTGTGCAAGCATATCCATATTCAGTCATAATGCTGCACCCTTCCGAGTTCTGACAATAATTCGGGGGCTTAGCATTGATAAGGATCAGTCTGGTGTTTCCCTTAGCAACGTGAAAATGACACCTGAATGCACAATGCAGATGTGACACTGAAGCTTAAATGTAGATATTTGATTAGATTAAGACCTATGACTTTAATCAAGTTTATTCGAACGATTACAGATTTTATAGACTTAATATTTATATTAAAATGTTGATCTATATGCGCAATGAATTATTCGACCAAAATTTGTAACCTACCCTTAAACACAATCGTATACATATTCTTGTTGTATGTGCGCCGATCTATCTATCTATCTATCTATCTATCTATCTATCTATCTATTTGTCAGTTCGTTATCTATCTATCTATCTATCTATCTATCTATCTATCTATCTATCAGTTCGTTATCTATCTCTCTATTAGTTCGTTATCTATCTGTCAGTTCATTATCTATCTATCTATCTATCTATCTATCTATCTATCTATCTATCTATCTATTTGTCAGTTCATTATCTATCTATCTATCTATCTATCTATTTGTCAGTTCATTATCTATCTATCTATCTATCTATTTGTCAGTTCATTATCTATCCATCTATCTATCTATCTATCTATCTATCTATCTATCAGTTCATTATCTATCTATCTATCTATCTATCTATCTATCTATCTATCTATCTATCTATCTATCGCAGTCTGTTCGTGTCTATCTATTTACGAGAACTTGTTGTAAAGTCGCTCCGTCTGTCCACTTCTCTCAAGTTTGTACGTCTTATAATTTGCACACACACACACACACACACACACACACACACACACACACACACACACACACACACACACACACACACACACACACACGAGAGCGCACGCACGCATACGCCACCCCAACTCTCCCACATACGCACGCACGCGCACACACACATATATATATATATATATATATATTGATTGAGAAGAAGAGAGAACGTAGGTTGAAGCCTGGTTTAGGTTTGCTTTTAGATAAACACTCGCCTTCACACAGAGCAAACATTTATTGATATAATACACGCACAAAGCATGAACACATCAATACATAAATGCATAAATCTATGCGTTTATAATTGTATGTGTGTGTTATATTTCTATGTGTGTGTCTTCGTGTATATGTCTGTGTCTTTAGTATAGTAACTGCAAATTATATATATATATACATACATATAGAATATGTCTGTGTATATGTGTGTGTAGATTTATATATGTGTGTATATGTGTGTGTATATATACATAGGGTGTGTGTATATATATATGTCTGTGTCTATATATAAATACATATGTGTTTGGGTATATATATATATATATATATATATGTGTGTATGTGTGTGTAGATTTATATATGGGTGTATATGTGTATGTATATATACATAGTGTGTGTGTATATATATATGTTTGTGTCTATATATAAATACATATGTGTTTGTACATATATATATATATATATATATATATATATATATATATGTCAATCGACAAAGATTAAAATCGGAGTTTTGGACTCGGTCTAAGATATCCTCTAATATATACATAATTTTATATTTAGGTAACAGTTCTTCATTTATGCATGTTTCATTAAAAACGACAGACAATTTACTACGGTTAAGCCTTTTATTTAATTTTTCTTATGTTCGAACAAGTGCTTTCTTTTTTGGACATATATATATGTGTGTCAGCGTTTCTCCTCGGTGCATCATTATAAGCATCGTTTATATTTCTTCCTTTTTCTTGACACATATGCAGTTCCATCAATAAGAACATTATTTTAGTTTGGTGACGTCTTTTCCAAGGACAAAACTAGTCACATAGAATTTGTTCAGTTTTGTCATTCAATTACCCAACATTGTTTTAATATATCACAATTTATATATCATATTCTCTCATAGATAATCGCCAGATAGATATATAGATAGGTATATCATCAATTTTTGTAGGAGTTTATATAATTTCTGTATAGCCACAACAGCGGAGGCCAAAATGCGAGACGGTGCTGAAAAGCTCGCGGACGGACACATTTTCAAAATCTATATATAATTGATTTGTTTTCTACGGTTTATCAACCCTTTGCAGGTTATTCTAAACCAGAAAATGTCTTTAGATAGCAAGATTTTCTTCTACATAATAATGATCGAGTGATAAAACTTTTACTAATTAACCCATAGTTGGGGAGAGGAGAAGTAGATTCATGCCTTTCAGAAGAGTATTTGTGCATAAAGGAATATAACGAACTCGGCTTTTCGATTATCATTTCCGATCATTTATTCATTACACCATCCGCACATCCAAACTTAGTGCACCCGGTATTCGCAAGCGGACACCGATCTAGTTAGTCACCAGGCCCGTCCTTGCTTAACTTCTGCTATCTTACCAGAAAAAGGTGTTTTAACGTGATGTGGCCATAAACATTTGTGAATATATACATATATATATTTTAAATTTTTTTGTTTTATTTTTGGAGTTGATTTAAATAAATTTCGAAAATTTATGTTGGATAAAATGTATTTGAAATAATTCAAAATATTGCTTCTTCTTTTTATTTATCATATTAAAATGAATTTATACTTAGATACAAAGAAACACTTTTTATTGAACCGTGCCGATAATTTTGAACATTATTATATATATATATATATATATATATATATATATATATATATATATATATAGAGAGAGAGAGAGATAGATAGATAGATATATGAACAATATGAACAATCTATCTATCTATCTATCTATCTATCTATCTATATGATATATATGTTTTTTTCGTTGACCAGCGAGAACGCAATAAAATGATTATCTTAACCCTAACCCTGCCGTTCATGATATTGAATATTGTTTTATCAATTAGTCTCTCTCTCTTTAATCGAATATATATATATATATATATATATATATATATATATATATATATATATATATATATATATGTGTGTGTGTGTGTGTGTGTGTGTGTGTGTATAAAGAAATGAATAAATATAAATAAATGTATGTGCAAGTGTACACATATAAATACATGTATATCTCCCTTGGTGTAAGAAAAGCAGTGCTATATATATATATATATATATATATATATATATATATATATATATATATAAATGCATTATAAATGTATTATATATTAGTAAAAATGCTTGCCAATTCCTCAGGCGCATTTGTGTTTATTCAACACAGCGCCAACCTGTGGTTTAAACTGCAACTATGCTGAACAGACCTTACTTACAGTTTCTGGGAAACAGCGTTTTATCTAGCATGATCAACAATTTGAGCAAGGCCAGCACGCTTAATCCCTCGGCCACGATGACCTGTGACTTCGTGCTAGCACAGCTATCGACGGGCCCAAGGGTTCTGTCTATCCAATTTCCCTCAACCAAGGTCAACCGTGTTATGGTTTTCAGGCACTCTCCAAAGGTGCCACACGCTGGGATCGAACTCCATCCAGTCCGATATATATATAGTGTCCATAAAGTTTGTGTGCACTTTATGTAATTTATAACATTAAAGTGCGCAGGAGCTTTATGGACACCCTGGATATTGGCTTGCTATTTGTTTCTGAGCACAACATTTTGCTAGGGCGGCTAGAAAATGCCTATTGCAGGCGCCTGCTGCATCGATAGAATCCACTCTCGTTCATACAGCAACTATGCTGAGCGGACCTTAGTTACAGTTTCTGGGAGAGAGCGTATTATTTAGCGTGATCAAACCCTCGGTCACGATGACTTGTCACTTCGTGCTAGCACATTAGCACAGCCAACGAAGACTTCCGTAACAGTCCCGTCTACCTAATTTCACTCACCTGCTCGACAAGTTGACTACGGTAAGAATCGAACCCGAATCTTATGGCCAGATAGCGAAAATTACAACCTGGGCAACGCACCCCCAACACACACAGATAATCCACTTGGAATAACGTATATTACAAGGTGGGCAAGAAGTGGGTTTACATTTTACTGTTTCTTTTTTTTTTTTTAATTTTGTTATATTTACATTTATTTATTAGAATTACATTTGTTTAACACTATTGAATCTCGTACGTGCTCGAAATATCCATCTTTCGATCCTCTTTAGAAAACTGTGGCACACAGTGCGACTCAAATTCCGATCCGCATCAATGTTAATAAATGATTCCATGATGAATGGATAGCTGCTCGGATTGAGGAATCGGAGAGCCGAGTTCGAATTCTAGTCGAATCCATTGCATTACGTGCTAATACCCTTGGGAAAGGTATGGATCCTTTTCTTCTCCCCCCAGCTATGGGTAAATAGAAGGATAGACCGGGTTCTGCCTTGGATGGCAGCTGGTCTACCGCAGAAAGAAATGGCAACCTACTGCGGGGGAAAAATCTGCCTCGTCAGAAATCGAAAGATACATGATCGCCTAAGCGTGTATCACGCATGGCACATAACTGACTGACTGTGTGAAGCTTTTTCTCATAAACCTTATTCTTTACTAAACCTCCATTAGTGAACGGGGTAGACATTCAATGCTGTCACGTTTTCCGACCCAACGTTGTGGGAAGTTTTTGTCAAGGTATTCCTTTACTGTCAAAGCATAACCATGTTGTGCCCCATCTTGTTGAAAAAAAAACAAAACAAAAAAACAAAAAAACAGCTCGGCGAATTTCGCTCTTGTTCAGAATTGTGGCACGGCCCAAAAAACAAAACAAAACAAAACAAACAAAAAATAAAAAATAAAACAAACAAAAAGTCACGTCAGCATATAAATAGTTAAACAACTATATACCAACTTTTAATCCACTCTCTCTTTTGCTCTCTCTCTCTCTCTCTCTCTCTCTATATATATATATATATATATATATATATATATATATATATATATATATATAAACTTAACAATGTGAAACATACGGTAGTTAATAACGGTTTTTCGAATTAACTCATAGATCAATAAATTAGACGTTTTCTTTGTAAGGTAACCAATATCAACACTGGACATACAGATAAAAACAACAACATTAACATTTTCTATTAAAATCAAATACACGTTAACTACAGTCAGGATGAATCTTCTCTTAGAAACATTGTAAAGAAATACACAACTCCAATCGACAAAACAAGAAAATTAAATTAAGTATCAACTATAAAAATTTTAAACTGTTATCCTCAACGTCAACAACAATAACTCAACTGCAGGATCCAAATTACAGGAACTAATAATTTTTAGGAATTCACATGTCACTTAGGGAACTCATAATTCATAAATAATAGAATTGTATATATTACAATACACCTAACAAGAAAACTCACATTACATCTCTCTGACCATAGGCCTCATTAGGCTCATTTAAATACACACGTAGACCTACTAAACTTCATCCGCAACATACTTGTTGACAATACAAGTATAATAGCCTCAT